AGACTTTGTTGGACTAACTAGATTAATCAAAGGGTGGCAGCTTTATCATTTGATCAGGTCAATGGTCAAAAGTCAAGTTGACTTTACTCCTGACATTTCTGCCAAGAGGAACCAATCTAAAAGTAATTGGTCTAATTTATAGTTCAAATTTATGTCACAATCATGGAAATTTTATGGACCATAGTAAAGAGATTTTTTTTTTCCAAAATGCTGTTAAAAAATATTATCTTTCACACTTTCTAGGCCCTTTTCTCTTGCCTCATGTACACTCTAACCCGGAGAATTTTCTTATTAGGAAAACATATAATTAAAATATATGCAGCCATTAATATGTGTGCAAATCTGAAAACATTCTAATTATAACAGTAGATTTAAGAGACAATTGTACAAAAAGGAATCTGGAGGGTCCTACTGGTTCCACTGCTACTGCATTGCTGATGACAAACAGCATCATGATACTATGGTAAGAATAACTGCCTATTCTTATCAAGTTGATGATCACATTAATTTCTTGAGTCTTATGCTTAAAATGCTTCTCCAAGGAGGAGGGAGTGCTGGAGCCTTTTGTGAATGTGTCGTGGCAGTGATACCCAGGAGGAGAGGAGCTACTAGAACCAAATGGGCAGGGCCTGGCTTGCTAGATGTCCTGCCAGGCAGGGCTGAGAACCATTACAAGCAGGAGACTAAAATAATTAATGGGACTATAAAGATGCCCACAGAATATTTTAATTCATGTACTCATCTTTCAGCAAATAATGCTGCAGGCCTCTGATATTTCGGACATTATTCTGAGCTCAGGAAGTACAGACAGAAACAAGATCTAGACCCCATCCTTCAGATCTCACAATCTAGTGGGACAGATAGCCAAGAAAATAGGTGAAGACTCCAGTGTGCCACATGCCAGGAGGGGCCAAGAAACACCTCAATAACTCCGACTCACACGCCATGGAGAGGCCATGACAGTGTGTCCTCAGGGGAGAAAAGAGGCCAGTTCTTTTTTGGATCCTTCAGGCAACTAAATCCATTGCTGAAGAGTCGATTCTGACTTATGGTGACCCTATAGGACAGAGTAGAACTCTCCCATAGAGTTTCTAAGCAGCTGCTGGTGGATTTGAACTGCCAACCTTTTAACCACTCTGCCCCCAGGGCTCCAGGGAAAGGTCAAAGGACAAAATGAGGGTAAGGTAATGAGGATAAGGCAAGATGAGTTAAAGAGAAACTGTGAGGCCCAGAACTAAGGCAGTAATTATGTGGATGGAAAACAGGGGGCAGATTTGTAAGTTATGCAAAAAAAAAAAAAGTACAAGCAACACAATCTGAAGATTAACAAGTGCTGGGTGCTAAGGAAGTCTCCTGTCAAGGGGAAACTGATTTCTTGGAAAGCTGGTTCAGGCAAGCAACATAAGCTTCTCCATAAGCTGACACCAGACAAATCTTCTGATTCCCTCTATCAAGTGATTATTTCTTGTCTAGACAGATCAGTCCTTCTCAACCTTTTCCATGTGGTAGCCAGACTGAGGCGTGGATGAGAAGGAAACAGCTTCTGCCAGGAGCGCTGGGAGAAAATGTTGCTGTCGGGGGCAGACTGGCCAATTTGGGTGGAAAGGACAGAACAACCAGGTAGCATGCAAGAGGATATTCCTGAAACTGCTATAGCAATGGCACATATTCAAAGCTGGTAAAAACAAAAAACAATAACTCTGATGATGTAGAAAGCTCTGATGGAAAGAACCAGACTCCTCTTGCCTAATGTGAAGTTTCTCAATGTTTGGTTTTTGTTTCCTTTGATGTATTTCATTCAAATGAACACTTAAATCTTAAGTACAATTGCACATTAGGAACTACAGAAGGTACTGTAATTCTAGAGGTTGGAGAAAGGGGCTCAACTGTTTTAGGGAGAGTAAAGAAGGCCACAAGAGCATGGACCTGCATGGCCTGGATATATCAGGAGAAGAGTCAGAGCTTGGGTGGGAAGCTTCATCTATAGCCGCCATGTTGTTCTGTGCTCTGATCCAGACATAGCCATTGAAATCAAACGTGACAAGTTAACAATGAAAAAGGAGGTAGCTTATGATGGACTGCTGCCGCCCGTCAGTTCTTCCTTTCCTTTCACTAGCCCACTCACGTTTTCCCACAGACTACGCAGGAAGGATCTGGCAGGGTTGGGAAAAACACAGCATTGGGAAAAACAAAGAGGTATATCAATGTAATCTTGCATTGATAGGGATCAAATTCTATCCACAATAAGAAAAATCCAAATGGATTTTAAATGAAAGCACTAAAGTGACCAGTACACTTACAGCTATTATAGGAGAAAATAGTCAACATTCCAGGAAGGGCACCTGAGAGGAGTAGAAATATTATGTGCTTTTATTACATACTAGTCCAGCTTATTATGGCATGGTATACTTAATTTAGAAGCTGCCTATCAATTACAAAATTATATGCAAAAAAATGTTTTAAGGATTTGTATACACTGGCTTAAAAGGTATAGATGTACGCGGTAGATAGTGCCAAAGAGCCCTTTGGGACTGTCTGTAAGAATATCATTAATTTTTACAGTGTGCTTCCATTTCTGGACCAGTTCCAGCATTGGCTTTCTATAAAAATCATTTCAAGTATAGAACGATGCTATTTGCTTGCAGCAACATCACAGGAGCAGGAGTGCACCATATGTTGCTACTTAGCAACTTCGTCTATAAGTCCCAAAGCATGTACTGATTTGAAAATTGAACAGGAATTATAATTGTTGAGTGATTCTATGAGGCAAGTTGTCTTGGATTGCTAAACTATGCAGATGTTTGATGTTCTGTAGGAAAAGACACAGAACTATTTTTTTTCCCCCTGCAGGATGACTGAAGTCTTATTTATGGTCACCTAAAGGGGTACATTGATTAAAATTCCCGAAAGAATATCAAGTGATGAATCCTTGAACACACTACCTTACAGTAAACAAAAGGAATGTCAAGTGTAAAATCTAGTTAAGCCACTCAGTGTATGTAATTTGCGAAATGTATTTCCCTCCCAGCATATGTATTATCTCACATTAGCCTAATTTTTTAAATAGCAAATTCTAAAAACATTTTTATATACGCAATGTTATTAAAAAAGAGTCTGCTTCAGGATAACAAACCGGCCATGCTTCTCAAAAGCACAAAAAAGTATCTGGCGCTCTCTACTACTTCTCCATAAATTATCACTGGTATTTAAGACATTCTTAGTAACTCCTGACTGAAATGTTAAGAAAAATAATGTTAGTTGTTTGATTTTAGTCTGGGCTGAATATTATCCATTGTACTTAAAGTTAAAAATCTAAGGAGCCAGGCTTAGGATGAATATGCTCTGCATTTCCAATCCTTTATCCAAAACTCCTTAAGAGGGATATAATCATTCCCTGAAAGGAAGCAGCTGCTTTATAACAGCAATCACTTATTGAGTTTGTGTTTCTACTGTTTCAAACAAATTCAATTAGTCCTTACACTTCAAAACCCTAAAGGCACCAAAGAGATGATACCGGGCTGCTTTAATCCAATAGTAATACTAAACTTGTCAGTACAGTTTTGGGATTGATGGTTAGAAGAAAATTAATAATAACATTTTTCATTTTTTAATCAAACAGTGCGATTCAGAACTGCCAATGGACCTTGGAGGGTACTTAGTTGAATGGATTCAGTTCAGTAACAATTTTAAATGCAAAGCTCGACCTTCCAAAGGTATTCTTAGAGTAATCAACTCAGCTGAATGGAAAGGAAACGTTGGTAGGATCTTTGAACACCATGATGGCCTTTCCGCTGAACAATATGGTGTAGTTCCAAGAACGTCTGCCCAAAGATGGACGGGGTCATAATGTCTTCTAAATGCAAAGTTTGTGGAAGTGTAGGCCTGCCTCTGTTTTGAGTTAAGCACGAGACATACTGTTCTTGGAGAATTTTCAAAGCCCCACAGAGTGTAGACCTAACATATACATTAGATTTAATTCACGGACAACTACCATGGAGAAAAAGAGTTTTATACTCCCCTCTGCCCTCCTCAACCCCCTAGTTATCAAATCTATTTGGGTGGACAAGTAAACATTTAAAACTATCATAATAGAATTTATGCTATACTTGCTGATATCTGAAAAGCCAAGATGCCATGGTTTTACCATTCTGGAAAAAAAAACATGTGCAAGTCCATAAAATCCTCCTGTAAACTCTCCCTCTTACTTCAATTATTCATTCATTGACTTTTGATTACAATGTTCTTATATTTTATGTTACACTGGCCCCCTAGGGTAGTCAGAATTTTGCTTTAAATGCCCTTCCTGGATGAAAGGGCTCCATCTTAAGTATCTAAAAAATAAATAACCAAGCACTTATTTTTATAAATGTAACCATTTACATTTTCATTGTACTTTTGTTGTCACTTCTCATGATTAAATACCTTGTCAGCTAGTCCCAGTGAAATGGATACAAACGTGCCCTTGAAGGGTTTCAATCATATCATGCATTTTGACCTGAAATCTACCCACTCCCCCATGGATTCTGAAGCAGCATTAGCATCCACTCCGACGCTTTCGCGTTGGCAAAATCTCACCAACCATGTGATTTGGGTTATAAACGTATCATTTTGTTGAAAAAGCCAACAGTTGATCATTGAAGCTATTTGTGACATGTGTAGCTTATAATGATTAACTCATCTACAGTCAGAAGCACAAATAACCTGCACCTGGAAAGACTTTATTTCCTAAAGGTAAAACAACTGTTTAGGAAAGATCATGCTGGCAAAACAGCTGCTTTCTGTTCTGGAGAGAAAACAAGGCAGGAGCTTTCAACAAATGCCAACTCCGGTGTTTTATCAGCGTATCTCATTAACTAGAAACAAGGCTTAAATGCTTTGTTTATAAATTATGATTATTCCTGATTGCGGCAGTTACTGATAGTGCTACTCATTTGCAATGCAACTCTTTGAATTTGTTTAATTACAATTTGAAACAAGGCAGAGAAGATTAATTAACCCACCTGGCTGGCTGGCACATAGTCCTGGCTCGGCTCTGTCATGCTCATATACATGTTCTCACCGTCAAACTGCGAATGAAATAATAGTAAACATTCAGCAATCTTGACTGTGTGTATTTTTTCAGCAGCAAACTGGAAAACAGTAGCCATAAAAAAAAATCCTGTGGTGGGGAATATGGACAATCTGCCACAGCAAGCGAGCCACATCTTTTCTTTGATGTTTCTGTTGTCATCCTTACTGACCCTGGATGTCAGTGATTTGGAGTAATTAGCGCTCTAGTAATTACAGCAAGCAAGCAAGAAATGAATGGTTTCCTTTCATCTGCAATCTGTTTTAAAACAAAATGGCTCGTTTTGCGCGCCATGTATACATATTGCAGCTCGCCTGTAATGAAGTATTAAATAAATGGCACCGTTTCTGAAAGAAAAGGATAATGGAAAAGACACGAAGGCACAGCTCAGTGCCTTCTGAGTTTAGCTCTTAAAAGTTAAAAAAGTGCAGAGTTTTCACAACAGATGAACACCGGCTTCATCATAATAGCTTTATGATTAAAAATTTTAACTTTATAATAATATTTGAAAAGAGCATGTATCTCTAATGGTCATGGTTAAGAATGACAAGAACAGTGACTAACAATAGAAATATACAGGCTGGGTGATTAAGCTGTCCTCTCTGAAATTTTCCAAAGATGAAGAATTAATGTTAAGTATGCATAGAAACTTATTGTAGCAAGCCAATGGATTTAGGAACAAGACAGAAGGAGGAAATTCACAGGGGCAGGACAACTGCAGGAGAATCAAGTAGTTTAAATGACAACAACAAAATACTTTTCATTATTTGAGTTTTTTGAACGCAGTAACCACTCCATTCAGACTTAATCCTCAGCTATCTTTAGACACTCGATAAATGGGCAAAACATTCCTTTTTTAGTAACAGGAAGAATTTTCCTAAGGAAATAATCAAATGGACTAATACATTCAACTTCAAAGAGCTTGGTCTAAATATACATTCACTGACAGACTACTTTCAAACCTAAGAACTTCAAAACTTGAAAAACTGCTTTTTAAAACAGAACAGTGTTATTGATAATGGTGCAAATGTACAGTAATATGTCCATACTTTATCTACTGTCAAAACTAGAAAAATGTATTATAGACATAGCCTTCCACCACCTAGGAGGTGCTAGGATAAGAGGGTTATACCAACACTAGGCATATACCAAGACATCCAGACTGTGGTCAGAGCACTGGGTGCCCTGAAGATTTACATAAACATCAACTGTAAAAGTAGAGACATCACTAAAGACCCTGAGCCACTCACTAGGTTAAGTTCAGAGAATCAAAGGATTTCCTCACACATTACCATGTAAAAATATTTCAGGTTATGTGAACAACTTCTCTAAACAGATATGAAGTCACATATTCAGTGATGTGGCTGTTAGCACACGTCGGAAAGAGCACATCTAGAAAAGAAGAGTTGGAGATTTTGGTTGCTTTGTCAACTGGCTCTGGCGCCCTGATTCAAATGACTTACCCGAGGCTGCTTTTCCGTCAGGTCAGATGGACTCCTTCTTCACCTTACCGATAGTCTAGCCTTGAGTCACTCTGTCTGTGACTCCTCTAACAACCCCCAGACCTGACAAAGAGCCTGACTTAGCAGTTCTCCTGTTCCACCCCTGTGTGAGTGCACTGGTTTGTTTGCAAATGTTTTTAATGTTAAGATGCCAAGGAACCATTTAAAATATGGACAGTTTCTCTGACTGTAATAAACTAAACTGAACAGAAGTAGCGAAGTGAATCAAACACTCCACTGCAGATGCATATTCTATAAAAGTGTTACTTTCTATTTTATCTTCTCTAACTCATTTTCTAAATCTGGTGTCGTTCTTATGCCAACTAAGGCTTTGAAGTTTTGATTTTAGTCTATCCAAAGTGCATGCTAATTCAGTATATTCAACGTTACTGTTCTTGATAAGGACTTTTCCATCAAAAAGTACCAATACCTAAGTAATATGGAGCCAAGGCTGAACCAGCATTGTTACAGTAAAACAATTACTATATGTATGATAATTATGGTAGTTAAAAAAATTTGAGTACATTTTATGTCCCAGCCACCTGTAGCTTTACATGTATTAACTGATAAGTATTAACTGATTTAATCCTCACAACAACCGACGGTTAGCTGTTATTATTATTACCTACATTTTTCAAAGGAAGAAATGGATTCACAGAGAAATTAAGCTATATACTCAAAGACACACAGCTCATAATAGGCAGAACTGGGATTCAAACCCAGGTACCTTGGCTTTCTAGCCCATGCAGTTAACCACCAGAATATGTACATTATATTCTGAAGCATACTGATGAGTTAGCTATCAATCCTGGAAATTATTTCAATAAATTATCAAAGCAGAGGGGTACAAATATCTCATAGTATTGCAATATTGTCTAGAATGTCTGTGGTATTTTGAGACTCCAAAGACGAGTGTTATGGTCAGCTGTCTATTTAGTCATCAGCCTGGCTGAATCCCCCTGGATAGTTGACAATCAAAGCCTTAAGAGACTCAGAGGTAGCTTCTTCTCTTGGCATCAGGACACTGATCTCCTCCAAAAGCTTATTTCTGGAGGCCTACTCACTCCCATCGAGTCAGTTCTGACTCCCGAGCCCAGCGGAGAGGAGTAAGGCAAGGCTCAGTGCGGGAGCTGGTCAGGCGAACGTCGTCAGTGCAATTTCCTTAGTCCCCAACCACACAGGTTCAGGAGCCAGGCCTCAGCAGGCCTCCTACTGATCCAGCATTCTTTCAAATGCAGCCTGGGTCATGGGCTTAGTAGCCAGTTGTCATCTGAAATGGAATTACAGAGCATAGAATTTCAGTCTTAGAAAGGTCCCTGAAAGCATCACATCTGAATTCTTCGTGTTATGATTGAAGGAACAGAATATTTTATTGGTCACCTGGCCTCTCTGGGAATAGAAGTGAGGTCTGGCCTCTGAATAGAATAGTTTTCCACTACTACATACTGCTTTATGTACTCCGTTACCCATTAAAAAAAGTGGGATTCAGCCATAAAAAAGACTGAAGTTCTAATACATGCTGACATGAATAAACCTTGAAAACATCATGCTGAGTGAAATAAGCCAGACACAAAAGGACAAGAATTTTGTGATGCTTGGTGGCGCAGTGGTTAAAGCTATTGACCGCTAACGGAAAGGTCGGTGGTTTGAAACCACCAGCGGCTCCACGGGAGAAAGATGTGGCAGTCTGCTTCGGTAGAGATTTACAGCCTCGGAAACCCTATGGGGTCGCTATGAGTCAGAGTCAACTTGACGGCCGTGGGTTTTTTTTTTTATATGAAATAGTCAGAATAGGCAAACGCATAGAGACAGAAAGTGATCAGTGGTTATCATGGGCTGGGGAGGAGGGGCAAGGGGCATTAATGTTCAATAGGTACAAAGTTTCTGTTTGGGGTGATGAAAAGTTTTGGAAACTGATAGTGGTAAAACTTGTACAATTATATTGTGATACAATTAATACCAATGAATTGTACACTTAAAAGTCACTAAATTGACAAATCTTATGTTATACATATTTTACCACAATGGGATTAAAAAATGGAGACTCAGACTCTGCAGCTCTTGGTACATGACTTGTCTGCACACTCCCCTGACTTGGAGGCGGGCATTTACATGATACCCCACTAAGGGCCTTGCTTCACTCTACCTGGACCACACAGTAAACGACTGCCATCGAGTTGATTCCGACTCATGGCAACCCTATGCGTGTCAGAGTAGAATTGCTCCAGACGGTTTTCAATGGCTGCTTTTTCAAAAGCACATTGCCAGGTCTTTCTTCCGAGGAGCCTTTGGGTGGTTTTGAACCACTGATCTTTTGGTTAGCAGCCAAACGCTTTAATCACTGTGCCACCAGGGCTCCTATATCTAAGCATACCAGGGCTTAATTTCCATGTAGTCTCAATTTTAAAACCTGAAGCAAAGTCTGAAAGGATAAATAGACTGACTTGTTTAAATCTAAATTTAAATGGCATCAACCCAGGATTAGCCTTTCTGACCAAGTGCTTTCTTACTCTTGATTGTGTTTTTATTTCAAAGCACCAGGGGATGCAATCACATAAAAAGTCATTTATAATCTTCTACTACAGTTTTTTTTTTTTTTTAATTGTTTTTAGAGGATATTAACCAAACCCGTAATCCCAGAGAGCTTTTCAAAACTAGGTAGTTACTATTTTTTCTGTTTAAAAACCAAAAGCTGACATCAGGCAATGTTGGAACACAGTGAATGATGAGCAAAAAGGGGTGATATTCAGGGGCCTACCTACAGAAAATAACGCCTATGGCAGTTAGTTTTAAATTGCTGAATGATCTCTCACAGCTGGCGGTGGGAGCTGCGCTGGCCAATAGAAACTGCTCATTAGCGCCCCCGCACCCAAGTGGCGCCCAGGGCACGCCCCCTACCTGCCATACCTTAGTTATGCCTCTGGTGATATTGGGCTACCAAACCACTAAAACAAGAAAAATCAAGGCAAGAATGTGAAGTGTAAATTAATCATTAGCTCTGGTACAGAAACGGGATCTTTTTAGGGAAATCATTAAAAGAAAATCAGGAAATTGCAGCTGGGGGGTGGGGGAGATCTCATGGAAATCAAAAAACAGTACCACATTGTATTTCCCATAAAGGGGAAATCTTACAACCCTGCATGTTTCTCAGAAGGAATATTTGATACTTTAATTCTAAAAAAGACAGAGAGAGAGAGCTAAAAATGGAAATGTTTATAACAGTGAGTTAATTTTCTTAGAATATGCATTATAATAAATCATTACAAGAAAGTGCAATATCCTTCAAATAAAATTTCCATTTTTTTATTGCTCTGCCCAATATAAGATTACAAATCATCTATTTTTTTTTTGGGGGGGGGTAGTGGGAGAAAAAACTTAAGTTTGGGGAACAAAGTCAAAGACTTTTGCTGGTTCATACAGAACAAAGCATTTTGGAAGATGTAAGCACAGAGTGAAGGATGAGAATGTGCACAGGAGCACAGCTATCATGGCGGCT